TAGTGATATGATATGATATAGAATAGGATCACAGTATGAGTAATATTACTTCTAAGTTCCGACTAAAGTACAGACACCAGAAATCTCTAGCAATCACAAATTACATAAATTATCCGATTTCTTTTACCACGTGGCATAAACCCATTGCATATCTTCAATCTCATGGACCCCTTTTCCATGACCGTTAGAGAGAGAGGGAGGAGGAGAAGATAGAGAAAGAATTTGGCAACTAATAATCGAAGGAGGTTGTGTCTCGAGACTCCTCTTCAATGGCCACATTCAACTACTCTACACTACTTCCTCCTCGCAGGTATCCCCCTTTCTCTTTATTTTCTTTCCATTTTTAGTATGATCATGAATAAATTACGTATATTGTTACTTGTTACTATTTCAATTTTATTTATACTATTGTATAATTTTAACGAGTAAGTATTAAACAATCACCGGTGTTTTTACCAATCCTTTATTTTTATTTTCGGGTATTAGTGATGGGCGCAGCCCTAATTGTTCGGGGCTGCGCCTCACTAACACCAACAAAAAAAAATGTTATTGAACATATATGGTAAAACAACTATAGAGTACCTGTGATTGACCAACTATTGTTTGTAATTTAAGAGTATGTTTAAATATGATTTAGCTAGCTTAAAAATACAGAAAGGGATATATCTTGTCAAATTTGAATGAGAGCTTAAGATATATGTTTTCAGTGGTTATCTTCGAGCATCTTGCTTGGCATTCCAGAGTTCTGGTAAATCATGGGTGGTGCTTCCTAAGGGATCATTTCGTCGAAGAAGACAATTTGGGATTAGAGCAGAAATTAATTATGTAAATGCTGATGAGGCTAAAGAGCTTGTAAAAGCTGATGGGTATGCAATTGTGGATGTTCGAGACAAATCTCAATTTGAGCGCGCTCATATCAAATCGTGTTATCATGTTCCCCTTTTCATTGAAAACCAAGACAATGACCCTGGTACACTCTTATTCTTTATACTATGATTGCGCTTTATGTCTGTATTTAGTGCTCAATTGCTTAATGTTTGACATATTAACTATGTTATTCGAACTTTGTTATAAACGGAACTGCGGGAACAAAAACAGTAAGAACAAAGTTACCGAAAATTAGAGTGAGTCGCGGACTATGTCGCTCTCTTTAGAACATTCACGGCACTGCCCTGAAAATGTGCAAGCAGTTCGTACTAAACCGGATGTTCCCCAGGATAAAACAACCTTTCTCTATTGTAATTATACCGGTGGAACTGCACAAAACCACCGGGCAACTAAACACCAAAAAGAAAAGAAACTGCTGGAGGGTTTTTTTTTTTTTGTGAGGAAAAATAGAGAGGAGAAGAAGATTGCTTTCTGTTTTTTTTTTTTTTGTCACTTAAAAACAGGAAATCAACACGCCTTTTATAGGCAAAATTGCAACGTAACTGCTGCTGTTTAATTAGGCACTAATTACGCAATTAAAACGGTCATAAGTTGAACGTTCAAAACGGTTACAGAAGATTAATGCGTGGCAAAACGTTTAGCAAAAAATCAGTGAAAACGTTTGCATGATTAACGCTCCATTAATCAGTTTTGAAAAAACGGTCAAATGTAATCAGTCAAAAACGTTTAGCAAAAATCAAGGAACTAATCACGCAATTAGCCTTGTCCAAAAAATAAGTTTATTTAATAAACCCGACCCGGCTCGGTTCGGCGCGCGTGTGTGATAGATGGTTTACCATATAGGTCCTCCCTCTCCACAAAATGTGGGTAGCCCAAGGGCCACACCCCTTTAGCCCACTCTCTATATTATAAAGAGAGTAAAACTCTCATTTCCCACCAATGTGGGACTTTGAGTTTTTTCACAAAATTCACACACTACACACTTGTTGTTCCAACAAACTCTTCATTTCATCTCTGAAAAAACGTAGTCTAGTTTGACACTGGTTATTTTGACCAAAAATTTATATCATGCAGGCACAATCATAAAAAGGACTCTGCACAACAATTTTGCTGGTTTGTTCTTTGGGTTGCCTTTCACTAAACAGAACCCTGATTTTGTGAAGTCTATAAAGAGCCAGTTTTCACCTGATACCAAGTTATTACTTGTATGTCAGGAAGGATTAAGGTTGGTATCTCTAGCTTAAGTAACTACATATAATGTCCGATATATCTGGCTTGCTTGTATGCCAATTTGAAACAATTCGTTCATTAGGCTCAAAATTCAAGATCCACTGGTAACAGATTTTGTGTTTAATACAGTCATTCTTTTATTGTGATCCATATGAATTCATTACAAGATCAATATTTATTGAATTTGGTGAGGCATTCTAAGAAGTTCACTGTGTTATGGTTATTGAATTTGGAATCATGAGCTATATTTTAGCATAACAAAACAGAAGGAGTTTAATTTCTACTTTGTATAACTTTGTCACTCGACATAGTTTCATTTGCTTCAAACTTCAGTCCTTTAACCCTTAGTCCTAGTCTAGTAGACCTATGAAACTGAATCATGCTACTCGTATATATGAATTATGAAAAGAACATTGGACTGTATGTTTGATTGAACACTTGCAGGTCTACAGCTGCTGCTAGGAGATTGGAAGAATATGGGTTTCAGAATGTAGCATGCATAACATCTGGACTTCAGTCTGTAAAACCAGGTACTAATCTGATTATGCAAATTAAAGCACAAATATTACTTATGTGCCCTGGTATTATGATATCAGGAAACACCAATTGACAGAATGCGATGCTCTCAAATTCTCATGTAGGAACATTTGAATCTGTTGGTTCCACCGAGTTACAGAATGCTGGTAAAGCCGGTTTGATTACAGTTCAAGGAAAGATTTCAGCAGTACTTGGAACTATTCTTGTTTGTAAGTCACTCTTATTTTCGGCCTTTAAACTGAGGAATCTCCATATAATGCTAACTTTAATTTCCATGCGACATTGGTTTCATTATCAAAATACAGGTGCATTTCTGTTCGTCACTTTTTTCCCTGACCAAGCAGAAAAGCTGCTACCCCCAAGCTAGTCCAACAAGGAAGAGGTGAATGCAGGAGAAAAAATAGTAGTAGAAAAGCGTTTTTGTTGCTATTTTCTGTCACTATACAAGTCTAGTCTAAGATTTATTTGTAGTGTTCTTGGAATCACAGGTTTCATTCAAATTTTTTATAACGAGCTTGAAATTATGTAAACTGCATCCTTTTTGCTGCACTTGTATCGAATGAGATGGCTTTGGAGGTTGATTCCTGTCATGTTTTGTTTGCAGCATGCATATTGTTGTTACAATCTATTTCCTTCAATTCATAACGAGGCCCTTAACCTCAGTACAAAAAATTTCTTTCCCTAATGCCTTTGTTAGAATGTCAGCAAGTTGTTCATAGTAGACACATGGCTAAAAGCAATGATTCCTCTTTGAATCGCTCCTTGGATACAATGACAATCAACTTCAATATGTGTTTGAGCGATCATGGTGCAATATGTATGCAATGCCGATTTACAATCACAAAGTCAACTCCTAGCTCGAGGATGATACACCCCTAGATTTACAATCACAAAGTCAACTCAAGACTCTTATAAGCTAAGTCACAACATATTAGTTCAAAAATTATTGCTAGCTTTATAGTCACTAACAAGAAAACTATCACTAACTAGAATATTTACTTTGTACAAGCATGTAGTTGGTAAACAAAGTATCAATTTTTTTTTTTTTTTTTTTTTTTTGTTGACAAAAAAATATCAAATTTGATATAAGAACATCGTGTTTGATAATAACAATTTTTTTTTCTTTTTTTGTGAAAGAGAGGAGACAAAATAGATAAAATAATAAACAAAAGGGCAAAAGAAAGGAAATGCACCAAACAAAGAAAAAAAAGTTAACGTTGGTCCTCTTTAGCACTAACCCACTAAGAAACCTCCAATAAAATAACATGAAAATCCTTAAGCACCGCCTCGAATAACACATACTTTTGATCTGACTTAACCCCAAATTTAGCTAATCAGACTCGACTAGCTTCCCTATAGCAATAGTTAATTGTAATAATTTCTCAATGTGTAATATGAGCTTTAAATTTTCGGATAATATGAATATAGTGAGTTGTACTATCTTATGACCATCATCTCAAGCAACTAGCAATCCATGTAAAACTCCAACCCCCCTTAGTACAAGTACAACTTCCACAATTTAAAGCAATGTTTTGCATAATTTGCCACGTTGTACTCGGATATTTACCCCTGCTCTCCGTGGTTTTCCCTTACCTACCCACACCATCGATATTCAATCGGACCCATTCCTCTCTTGGAAAACGCCACCTGATATAAGCTTCTTCTCGCCACTCTTTCATACCATTATCCTGATGTTCTTCATGCTCCGTTACTCATTTTATCACCCCAACATATGCAAACACAATAGCTCACTTGGTCCATAGGAACATTTAGATTACTATGGAAGGTTCTTGCATTCTGCCACTTACACAACCATCAGCATGTATCTGCAAAATTCTCGACCATTCAATTCTCATATTAGCACTTTTTTCATCTATATTTATCAAGATACATTTTTCTAGAGAAAAGTTGCTTCTCACATTTGTCAAGCGCTTCAAGTGTTACCATAAAATTCGAGATGTAATTTGCATTAATTTGTTTGTATAGCCATATGCACTCATTGCCTCATTGGCCCAATCAATTCGAAATACAAATTCGATGTTGCAATGTTGTGATTTTTTATTTTATTTTATTTTATTTTTTCTTTCTACGAGGCAATGCTGTGAATTATAATTATAAAATCCGCCAAAAAAACCCACATTATCGATATTTGTCACCTCAAATAGATAATCAACCACCTAAGTCAATGGACTTAAAATTCCAATTTCTTAATAATGGTTCATCCAAGTCATCTAATAATCCATGTCAAAACATCATCTAACAATGACTCACATCACAATAATGTAACCTAGTGTAATGTAATAATCAAAACCATAATAAATACATAAAATAAAATTTTGTAAGATTTTGCATTAGTTATTTTCATAATTTTCATAAATAAACTCAAAATATACACACAAAATCTAAAGAAACGATGAACCAACCACCGTGATTAACCATCATGTGGCGGAGCTAACACCTCTTTACTATTCTTTCTTCCTCTCTTACCGCCACTTCTCACTCTTTCTCTCTCCTCTTTTTAAAAACTTCATCATTTTCTCGATCCAAAAAATCCCCCCATTTTCTCTCTCCTCTCCTCACCTCCATTTTCTCTCTCCTCCATTTCCATATTTCCATGGCGGAAAACACCGACGCACCACCTTCTTCTTCTCCGCCATCTACGCCGACCAAAGATCCAATCACACTCCACACTCGTCGCGAACCCTTCGAGTACGGCCTCCTTCCAATCCCGAAGCTCATCTTCTCCGACGCCGCCGCTTCCATCGGATCCCTCAAAGAGAAGCTTCTTCAACACGCTGATTCTCTCCGAGTTAACTCGTCGATTGTCGCCGATGTTCTGCAAATCTCCGAGGAACATTCCAGGCTTGTTATCGATACGATTGCCGCTGTTCTTCCGACTGATTCTGATCCTCTTGTTGTTGCGAAGCCTGATAATGTGCCGGCGATTGGGGTGAATGTGTATGATTTGATCTTGTTTTTGTATATTCAGTCTTATAAAAGGCTTTTGCCTAGGACTCATAAGGATTCTGCTGCCGTTGCTGATGTTTGGCCCTCGACTTCGGCGTTTGATGGGTATTTGTCTGCTCTCTCTCCTCTTCAGGTAAATTTTTAGGTTTTAATTTTTCAATTTATTTTTTGATTTTTATGATTTTTGCTGTGAAATGAAGAAATGTATTTGGTTGTTTCTTGGGTGAGTTTTGATTGATTGTTGATTGGCATTTGCAAGAAAGGATGTTGTGTTGTTGTAACTTATAGGGTAGTACTGTTGGAATCGAGAATTTGAAACTTAGGTGCTTGGTTATTTTGCTTGAAATTTGATTGGAGGTTTTGGAAATTCAAATGGGAGGTATGGCGAGAAGGAGATAGTTTGATAGAATAAAATGAGAAATTGATGGCAACTTTGGTACAAAGGAGGTAATAGTTGGGTTAATTTTGTTTTGTGATTCGGAACAGTTCTTTAGGGGAGAAGGTTTTGGTGGCATTGTAAGATGAAAGCAAGGGTATGGAATTTATACTTGCTTTTGATGAGTGTAATGTTATTTTGCGAATTAGAAGAATATTTCCTTGAAAAACAATTTATGGTTATTGTGCGGAATGATTCCTGGTGCTTGTGCGGGGTTTCAGGTGCAATTTGGGGATGTAGAGCTTCCTCCTTGTGGGACAAACAAGAGAAGTTTCTTTGGGTAGGAGTGATTTCGATTGCTTGTGCAGGGCATTAGGTTATATTTTGTTGGAAGGCTTTGGTGATTACTTGGCTTTAATTATTTATGCAATGTGACAATAAGTGTGAGGAGGCCTTCAGCTCTTTGTAATCTTTCCCCCTTTGATGGTATCCTATGGGGTCTAAAGAGTAAAGGTATGACGTCATACCTGCAGAAGTTTGTGCCTATTGAAGTTGCTTTCATTTGATCACTCATGGTTTTTGTATATGTGTAATGAATTTGTTCACGGGTTAGAGAAGGATTTGTTTATTTCTATAGTTTTTGCTCCTTCTCATCTTCCACCAGGTTATTAGCCCTGTATGAGATGAGGAGACACCTTGACAGTTAATGCAAGGAGAGTTTTTGGTTAGGATAGGATCAAGGCTAGATAGATCAAATAATACGTCGAGAAATGTGTTATTGCTTAGACTGACTCAGGATTCTGAATGTAGATACTGTCATCATTTTAATTATGCAATTATTATTGGCTTTAAATAAGAGGTATGCTGAGGACAGGGTGTTAGGGTTTTTTAATCAAATGTGATTACATCTTTTGAATATGGTAGATCCTAAACTCCAATATTAGTTTTTGTTAATATCTGGTGGTTATGATAATGGTCAAAGAAGCTTCACTTCTTTGGAAAAAAGTTAAGAGTCTAGAGAAAGAAACTTCTTTGAGTTAGTTGCACAGGGAAAGGCATTGTGAACATACTAATCTGCGCTAGTTAGTTTGATGAAATGGAATGAGACAGTTAAAGCAACTTTGGTATAGAGGATGTAATAGTTGGGTTAATTTTGTTTTGCGGTTTGGAACAGTTCTTTAGGTGAGAAGGTTTTGATGGCATTGTAAGAAGAGAACAAGGATATGGAGTGAAATCTTGCTTTCTTAAGAGTGCAATGTTATTTGCCTATTAGAACAAGTTATAATTATTCGCCAAGAGTGTTATTTAGCACTATGCTGGCCTAGGATTAAACAGGTAGGTACTGTCATTAACTTAAAAAAACAATTATTATTGGCTTAAGAGTAGAGGTATGCTGAGAACAGGGTATTAGGGTTTTTTAATCAAGTGTGATTAAAGCTTTTGAATATGGCGGATCCTAAACTCTAATATTAGTTTTTGTTATCATCTTAAAATCTGGGGGCCATGATAACGTGCAAAGAAGCTCCCTCCTCTTTGGAAAAAAAGCTATAGTCTAGAGAAAGAAACTTCTTTGAGTTAGTTGCACTGGTAAGGCATTGTGAAGATGTGAACATACTAATCTGCACTAGATAACAATCTTCTCCCTTCGCCAACTTTCTTTACAAAAAAATTGCACTAAAGGATCATTAGCTTTGAATTTCATTTACCTTATAACCACAAACTTGAGTGAAAGGGAAGAGGAAGCATCAGATGGCATGTGTTAGTTTGAAGTTTTCTTATTCCATTCTCACAACCCCTTTTTGTCATTATCTCTCATAATTACCCCAATCACACAATCACACTAAATGGCCTTAGTCTTTAGTTTATTTTAAAGTCAAGCAAACTTATTAAAGTTAGCTAAGTTCAACTAAAGGTTAGTAAGGGTTACCCAAGTTCAATTTACAGCTTATTAAGCTCATATAAATGAAAACCAAGTGAATCAAAATACACCCTAAAAAGAATAGATCTCACATTTGTCAAGCAAAGGTCTTAACTCTTGATACATTTACTTTTCTATCTAATCAGTGTACTAAGCTATTGGTTTAGAGACATCTGTAGCCTATCATTTTTTTTTATTTTATTAACTTATTCTTCTTAAATACTATTCCACACTTGGCTAGGCTTAATTTAACAATAAATTTTTCAAAAATTATATTGAGTTATTTATTTAGCTTAATTTCTGGTGGAGTACTTTCGCTAGATTATTTTGAAATTATAACTTTTTTTTTTTTTAAATCTTAAAAGTCAAATGTGGCACATAAATGTAAAGGCAACCATACTTGTTTTTGAAAGGGAAAAGTGACTAAAAATAGTTGTAGACAAAGGAGTGCGTACTTTATTAATTTTTAGACACGTTCATGAAGAAGGGGAGGCAGATATCTCCTCCCTTATACACATCAATGTTTGAAAAAGCGAGCCTAAGGCGTTAGAGGTCATGCGCTTTTTATGGTCTAGGCGAGGCGACTTCGATGAGGTGCAGCTAAGGCTCACTGAGGCGCAAGGAACTCCGAAATGCCTTGGTGCACCTTGAGCCTTTTTATACATAGATACACATATCCACCTTACCTAGCACCCATGGCAGGTGTATATCCAATGTCTACATCCTCCCAAGTGGGTATGGACATAGATTTACACTTGGCTCACAACCTAAGTGGATATCCACTATCAGCTTATATCGGCATACCTATTATCCACCTGATTAGGAATGGCATTGGCCGGACCTGATGGTATAGAATTCGAGCTGATTAATAAGCAAGACTCCCAAAACCTAGTCCGACTCGGAATGTGGATCAGAAACTACCAGCTTTGAATTCATTTCGAAAAGATATCTACAACCTACGAGTCTGACCAAGTCTAATTTTCTTAGTACATTCATTCCTTCATTATACCCATTTTCAATTTAGATTGCTGACCTTTAAAATGTAAATGAAAATGTAAGTTCTGAGAGGAGTAAGATCAGAAGGTAAGAAACAAATGAAGACAGATATTTGTGACTTGATCTTCTTTTCTCCCCTAACTTTGGTTATTAACACATGTAAAAAGTTTATTTAGGTGAAATTGATTTGGTATAGGTCCAAATATCTTGGTAGTGTGTAGGACTATAGGTAAAAAGGTGAAACGTCAGGAAATTTGAACAAAACATCCCCCAAAACTATGGTGTCATGGCTGAAACATTTGTGAGGTGTAATGTTAAGTGTGTAAATGCGCTCATTATTAGGCCTATCGGTGGCACAAAGAGATAAAAAGAAGGGAGATATAGTTTAGGTAAGTATTGTTGGCAAAAGCTTTTTGTGAGGTTTAAAGGCTTGGCTTCACCAACTGATCTCTCTCACTCTCTCTTCACAACCAATGGCTTTGTGATATGTTTTGCTTACTTCAAGTGATCAATGGATGAGTGAATATATAAGCACTTGCTCATACCTTTTCTGGTTGGAGAAATGGAAAGAGGACGTAGTAATGTGGAAGGCATAATTAATCTTATAAATAACATGGGAATGGAAAGTTTTACAGTCTGTTTGGATAGATTCGGGGGAAGGAAGAGAAGGGGAGGGAGGAAAAGGGGTGGGAAAGGAAGGGGAGGGGAGGGAAAAATGACGAGTTTTCCTTCCAAATCTTTCCATTGTTGGAGGGATCAATTTCTTGCAATTTAATCCCTTTATTTCTTTCCCTTCCAATTCTCTTCCTTCCTCACTTGTTATCCAAATGAAAGATTATCCATCCTTCAATTTCTCTTCCCTTCCTTTCCTCTATTTCCTTCAATCCAAACAAAGTGTTAAGGAAAACAAAATAGGGGTGTGAATGGTCAAACAAGAAGAGGGAGAGGGATTATGAAAAGTAGTGGAGTGCTCCAAAAAAAGGCGGATTCTTTTTTTTTTTTTTTTTTTTCCCCTCTAATCCTCATTAAGGCTTCTTTTTTCAAAATTTTGAGGCACTAGGTGTTGTTCAGTTGGTCCATTTGTTTCTGTTTCTGTTCTTGTTTTTGTGTTGATGCTACATAGGTTACCTGAAAGGAGATTATTTGACATTGTATTGTCGTTGGTTTCCTCTTTTTATATTTCCTTACTAAACCTTGGTTCCCAAACACTGTTAGAATACTGGTGGATCTGTCAACTGATGTTTAAGGATACTCATGAATTTGTGTCTTCTGAACTTTTCATAAGTTACTTTTTCTAGGTTAATTTTGAGCTTAATCCTGCATTCTGTTAGTTTCTGTACAAAATACCTAATATTCAGATTTATTTAACACATGGCAATCTTGAACGGAGGTGGAGTTGAATGTTTATCTTTAGTAATATGAATCAGCAAATTAGTACTATTGCAGTTCTTGCTAACTACTTTGGTTGCTACTTACCCCTCTGTGATAGGAATGATACCATCAACTATCTGCTTTTGGTATCTGACTGCAAGATGTCTACTCCTTTTGCAGCTTGTACGCAGTAATACTCGTAAATTCATGCCATCACAAGCAGATGAAGAAGCTCATCAATTATCTTACTTGCAAAAACACTTGGCAAATATCCTCACTCTCTTAGCAGAGCCAGTTGAAGGGGAAGGTGACGAATCTCTGGTTAGTTGCAACTATCATCTATCATAGAGTTGTTTATTCCTGGAAGAATTATTTTCTCACTTCTCTTGATTGATTTACTGCTTTATTCATATTATGTGTTGTAGATTGAGAGATGTATGGTAGATGTTTGTGTGTGCATTGAAAAGTGATCAACCAGAGCTTTTATTATCTCATGGTTCCTTAACACTAGTGTGAGGGATTGATGTGGGACAGATACCAAGACCACTTTGTTTCTAGTTGTGATCTTTGTAGTAACAATGCAGGTCAAGACTTATAATTGAGTCCTTGATCAATTTTATTGTCATCATGCTAACTGACAGATAAAATTTTCTGTGGGCAACATGTCATTTGTCATACGTGTCAAAGGGAAAAAAGAGAAGCAAAGGGGTAGTTTAACTATCCATGCGGTACATTGAGTAGTTGAAGTTAGTAAATTTGTTTAGCTGTCCAGAAAAGGTAATTTTGCATTGTTGAATAAAGGAATTATATGAGATTGTTAGTTTTTTTTTCTTTTCTAATTTAGATAAAATGGTATACCATCCATTAAAAAAAAAAAAAAAGGGTTTGTTCTTGGTCATTTTTATGGTGCTTGTAGTGTAGTCCTATTGATGCTCTGTGTATAGCTGACCAGAAAAGTTAATTTTGCAATGTTGCTTGCTAAAGGAATTATATGAGGTAGTTAATTGTTCTTCTAATTTGGAAGAAAATGTTATACCATCTGTAAAAGTTTGGTCTTTGTCATGAAAAAAAATAATAATTTGAGGAACTGCTATATTTGGACCCCCTATATTTCTTTCTTTGTTGTGCCTTTTTATTTTCCTTCTCTCAACTTTTGTTGATTTATCTGAACTACATTTTATGACAGGTATTGCCAATGGAAAGGTTTGAACACCTTGGCTTTTTGATACAATTTGGTGTGAAGGGGTCTGAAGTAGTACCATTAAGCCAAGCAGCACCCTTTTTTGCAAATTCAGACCCTGATATGCCTGCTGCACCTGTACCTGCAGCACAAGTTCATGATTGGCTTCTGCAGAAGATAGCTGATGCCTTGGAACGTATAGCTGAGAGGGCCACTGCAAAAGAAAATGGCTCTGATCAAGACATTGCTATGTCTGATGCCAATTCAAGCTCAGCTAAGGCTTCAACAAGCTCAAGAGGCCTGACTTTTATTGAAGGGATTTCTAAGTCCTCATATGTGAAACAAGCAGCTGACGTGAAAGGTTCTTCTCTTAAGGTTCTGAATTGCCATGATTCTGTTATCTATATTTTGGCACCCTTGAGATATGCCACCATATATGGCTGCTCTGATGCAACTATAGTTCTTGGAGCTGTTGGTAAGGTAATGATCCAGTTGTGGAATAAGTTATATTTCTCATCTTTACTGACCCAGATGATCCCATGAATTTCTTTATTTGTTTAATTTAGTTGGAGATTCCTAAATGTGAGTTCTGATTTAGATGTGAAACTGACAGCACAGTTGTTATGACAATGATCATGTCAACAGGCTCTAAGAGTAGAACACTGTGAGCGAGTTCATGTCATCTCTGCAGCAAAACGAATTTGTATTGCCAACTGTCGTGAGTGCATGTTTTACTTGGGAGTCAATCAAAGACCTCTTATTATTGGTGATAATCATAAACTACAGGTATGCCACTGTTATTTGCAACTTCACCATCAGTCTCCAAATGTATATGCTCCATATTTCTCTATGCTTAAAAGTATCCACTAACATTTTTGCAATACATTGATCCATCACCTTTTTGTGTTTGATTGTTGGTCTTTGACTGATCCCCCCCCCCCCTCCCTCCCTCCCTCTCTCTCTACACACACACACACAAAGCCATCATATCTTCTGTTTCTAAGAATGAGTTGATGGCCAGAGTAAAGGAGTAACTGACCTTTGAAACTAACGAGGCCTTGATCATTTTTAGCTCTTTATCATGACTGTTTTGTAGCCTTAATAGAATATTAGAAAGCAAGTCAATTTTGTCATGTACTGTAGTGTTTGATGAGTTAGAAATATGCTGCCAACAATAGCCAGCTACTAGAAGTCACTTCTCCGCAGGACGGAATTAGTTAAATGTGGGAAAGATACTCTTGTATAAGAATGTTGAGGCATAAATGATATTCATTAAAATTGTGTGAGCTAGAGGGTAGGTTTTATAATTGTAAGTTGTTTTGTACTATAATTTTAAATATTCAGTTATACAAATGAATTGTGTAGCTTAATGACCATGTAATAAGGGATGAATGGCTATCAACTAATGGCTGAAACCTCAACTACGAAAATCACTCTTATGGATGATAGATGGTTTTCTTTACTTATATGGTCACTTGCTCAGAATTAGGGGTTGAGGATGGTGCCAGTGAAGTTAACTGAAATGGGCAGACAGCACTGTGACATGCCTCACTAGAAAACAATTTATGGAATGTTGGGTCTTTTGCTGTATTGCTGTGCACTTGTGATAGTAAAGGTTTTTGTGGACATAGGATTTATTTCGTATTCTTCAAATAGTAAGTGCTACAAATTGTTTTTTTTTTTTTTTTTTTTTTAAGTGGAAAAATTGCCCAGAAAAATCCCAACTTTGCCTCATCTGCCCAAAGTAATCCCAACTTTGGTTATTTTTTAATAACCCGAACTTTAATGTGAGTTTACTTCCAACAGTTTCGTTGCAAGTGCCTTTGTAGCCTTGCGCTATGCCATAGATCTTTTCTATCTTGTTTTACTTGCAGGCCTTTAACCTCTAGATAAAATTTTTACTAAATTCACTTGTGTGAGCTTAAATATTGTGATTCTTGGATTATCATTCAAAATATAGTTTGGGTTACTGTCTATACATGGAATTTATGGTCCACACCATACCCATTCTATTGGCAGAGGGGGTGTTTAATTTCCATACGTGTGCATTTTAATTCGTCCAAATGATTGGTAGGATACAAATCAATGATAATCTTTAGTGCATCTTCAGATGATAATCCAAGTAAGAAATTTATTCACTTTTCTCAATGTTATTAGCCATAGAAGATTGCCTGTGAGGCTACTGAACAGAATATTAATTTAACTAATGAGAAGCAAACAGGGAGCTGATGCTCAAGCACAACATAAAGAAACACATTTGTCAAATTTTTGTTTGTTGCCTGCATGATTTCAGCATTGATAATAGCAACTTCGAGGATTGTTTACTCAGAGGGTTGTGCATCCTTTTTAAATATTGAGTCTGCTGAGAAATGTCTCTTATTGAGAGTACTTCAGTAGTTCAGTTGGCACAACCTCAAATTGATTGATGGCTTTTGGCTAATTACTAATTAGGTCTTGGATTAATGGGCATGATTGGTTTTGTGGAAAAATTGACTATTAACTAAATTACAAAATCAATCCCTTCTTGTGACTGTGATTTATTTAACTGCTCATGTGTGTGGCTTAGCATTTTGCCAGTTTTCTGTGAACAAATACTTAAGAATGGAGGCCTGCAATTAGTAGGGGTATCTGGTAATTTATGCTAATAGAATTTGAAGTGACCTTAAGCCTATTTGTTTAAGTAATGAATGTAAGGCCTCTGGTATCAGGCTATCAGCTGTGCATACTAATTAGTTAGCTTAATTTGGTTATGACTGTTGACTGCTTGCATCAGATTTTGCTTAGATATCTAAGTTTTATGAGGGAGGCTTTTGTCAGACCTTGAAGTACATTGTAATATTCTTTCTTTTACTTTCTAATGGCTCATAATCAGTGTTGGTCTTGTCCTCAACTCCTTACCCAATCCCCTATGTGCATATTTTGTTGATTTAGGTGGCAACCCCCTTTTAGGCCATAGATATCGCCAGTGAAGTTTATTTACTTTTTTTTTCCCCTCTAGGGAGCATGCAATCTTTTTTAATTTCTTTTCTTCCTATGATTTTTTCCTGTGCCGGTGTATTGTGAAGCTTTGCTTGATTCTTTTCTTGCATACTCCTGTTGACTGCTTGTTTATGAGAGAATCTTTTATCCTTGATGAATTTTCAGGTGGCACCATACAATACTTTTTACCCTCAATTGGAGGAACACATGAGTCAAGTTGGTATTGAGCCCACTATCAACCAGTGGAATGAACCTTTGCCATTGGGTGTGGTTGATCCACATGATTCGTTATCACACCCTGCAGGTGTTTCTGATGCTCAAGCTGAGACAGCTGCACCGCTGGATCCAGATCAGTTTACTAACTTTTTGGTAAGCTTAAATTCCTTACAACCTGCTGCTTCTGTTTATGTTGCTTTATCTGTTCAGTACTAGGTATTTGTTATCAGTCTCTGGTTACGCATTTTCGTTACTTCGGATCTTTTCATCTTTTGAATATGTATGCGGAATTCCCTCCTTTTTAAAAGAAATTGTGCTGGAAATGTGCCTGAGGTTATGTGCTTCATTAAAGGCAGACTAGACTTAGTAGACTATGTATCTTTATATTTACATGCTCTAAATAAAATAGGTTATTTTGATGGGTTTTCTTGATAAAGTTTCTTGAACCACACATATTAGCTGGATCTTAACCAAGAGATAGACTCGTTTTAAGTTGAATCAAATAATCAATGATGATCTTCCAGGGATTTGCCTATATAAGCTGCAGCCAAAGTTGGAAATATAAGAGCCTGAACACCAACTGTAGATAATCCAAGAAACATGACAGGTATAGGAATCACTAAAGGTACTATAGATTCAAGAACAACCACCATTAATTGTTTGACTCATACTTTTCCAGAAGGTCAAAAACTAAGTGAGTAGGGTTTTAGCGAAATCTTCTAAGATGTAAAAGACTATAAAAAATAAAATAATAATAATAATAATAATTGGAGTTGTTGAATGTGTTTACCTAAATAATTGGAGCTGTTAAATTTATTTACCATATAGGTTACTGACTTGTGTCACATACTCGCATGAGTAAAGTAACAGTTGTAGTCATATCATTTATGGGTGCGGCTAACTCCTGGTAAGGTCTGTAATATTTCCCGAGCCCCTGACCAATTAGAAACAAAAATAAATAGAAACATAGTCCCAATAAAGGGGACCCAAGGGGCTATATCCTTCTCCAATTTGAGTTATGCTCATGTCTGATGAATTCAAGGACATCAAAAAAATTGACTGCCTATAGTCAGATTCATTTGTAGACTGAAATAGATTTTTTATTTTATTTACTTTGATTATGAAATTGCATGTCATTGTTCAATTTGTTTATGCAGATTCCGAACTGGTTTGGTGGTGAAGTACCTGGAGCCACTAAAGACAACCCATTTTCTTTGCCTGAGGCTTACATGAATTCTCAGCATAAAAATGTATGTTTTGAATTCTCCTAAATAAGTTAGATATGATATTGTGATTTTTATATATTGTCTAATTAAATGACTCTTATCCTTCAGAACACAAACCTGGGGGAGGTCAAGCAAGTTCTGCAGGAAACTCCCCTAGATGAGAGCAAGAAGCGAGAACTGTCATCTGCACTTCATGTGTTGTTTAAAGATTGGTTATACGGTAAAGGCTTAACCTCTAGATATGTCGCTGATGCTTAGATTGTGTGCTTTATCAGCTTTATGAACCAGATTATTGAAACTAATACATTATATGCATAGGACAGCTCAGTATCGCTGTAATTTTTTTGGTTTTTGTTTTTGTTTTTTTTTTTTTGTTTTTTTTTTCATACGATGTATGTCATATAATCAATCATAATTAGTCAATCGTATTGAAATTATGATAATTTAGAAATTTGACAGCATAAAATGTGAACACTCTGGTTTTCAGTTTTTGGTTTTGTTTAAAAAAATAACAAAAGGCTGGAAACAAACAAAAGATAACGAACAGGGCCTAATTTTCTTGTAAGTATTTTTTCACAACTAGAGAAAAAAGAAAATTCTATATGAAGCAGAAGGGTGTTAGATACTTGGATGGATGGATTATTAGTTTTGTGCTTTTTTGCTGGTTTTAATGGTTTCCTTGATACATGTTACAGCTTCTGGGAATGTTCGCCAACTTTACTGCTTACAAGGAGACTAATGCAGTTTTTAGCCATTGATTGAGATGGTGTTGACGGATGTTTCTCTGTTTTTTAATCTTCAACTTGAAAGTCCCGCAATTATCAGCACCTTTAAGAGTTGATAATGTACACAACTCATAACCAGGCTTACATAATAGTCTGAAGTGTTTGCAGCAGTTGTAAGTTAGCTTTTGGGCAGGGTGCATATTTTTGCACTAGCTAATCTCGTCCTCAATTTTTCGTGTAAGGAAATTCCCTGTAATTTTTAGTTTTTGTAGTTTTCACTCTACTTTGTGAAATTTGATACTGCAGATTCTTCAGTTGTCTGATTGCATATCTTATTCAAATGGTGCATTTTTATTGTTTTGATTTGCTTTTCATATTCTGCCGGTGTGTTATTGTCTTGATGTTGTATTGTAGCTTTGTTCCTAAGTCCCTAAGATATACTCCTAGTAATTTTTTAGTTTTTGTAAAGACAATAGAAACTGACCATGTTAATTGATAGGTAAGTTTGTAAAGAATTGTACTACGTATAAATTTTGGGAAATACTTTGTTACACTTTCTACTTTTATTTTCATGATAATAAGAGAAATAACACTTAATAAAAGTACCCTAAAACACACTTCTTAATATAAATTTCTATTAATTGAATTTTACAAAATTTCATATGTGGCTAGCCACATTGTGCGGTCAGTCACAAATTTTTTATTTTTTTTTTATTTCTTTTTCTCTCTCTTCTCTCTCCTCTTTTCTTCTTCTCCAGTTAGCCCACACTAGATCCTCTCCTCTCATTTTCTCAGATAACACAAATTACGCAACCATCGTCGATAGTCGTCTTCGCCTTCATGGTTCGTTCGTCGGTGGTTCGTTTGTCGATGGTGGTGGTTTCGCTGGGTGGGTAGTGGTGGTTTGGTGACTCCGTTGCCGGAAAACAAGTTCAAGGTTTTCCCGGCCTAGATCTAGAGAGAACAAATTCGACCAAAAGAGGTCGGCCTATAGACTGATCTGATCAAGGGGTTCGGGCTAACCCGGCCAACTGGTCACCACCAATGGCAAGGCATCTTATGTTAAGATTTGTTAACTCTTAAAAAGTTTGTACTAAAAGTAAGACCAAGGAAGCAACAAAAGATAATGGGTGCATGCATGAGATTATCAGACTGGGCAATCTATCCCATGTGCTAACCTCTTCCATTTTTACTTGTCTTTTTCTGCTTGATTCTACCTCATAACTTCCTCATATTGGCTTGAGGTTTAAGGACAAAAAAAATTTCTCAACCCACTGGAAAAAGTGCGAGACAATAGTAACTCCCTCCGTTTCATATAGTTCGACCAATTATAAGGGTATAAATTTTTAGGAGAATTATTTAATTGAAGTGGACGTGAATAGGAGATAATGTAATAAGGAGTATTACTTTGTTAATGAAATAAACGTGATAGAAGATAATGAAATTTTTATTGTTTTATAAAACCCTAATAAAGAATAATGTAATAAAAAAGACGAAGAAATAATACAAGGAAGAAGTGTTCAAACTAGATTTTATAAAAATCTACTACCTCCGTTTTATATTAATTGCAATTTTGGGGTATTAATTATAAGACATAAAAAACTCCAAGGGAGTGTTTGGAATATGGGAATTGAGAGTGGGAATAATTTTAATCCCAATTCAAAAAAAATCTCTTGTTTGTTAGATGAGATTTGGAATAAAGAAGGGAATGGGATTGAGAATAAATGGGGTAAATTCCCACCATTTTATTACCTAAAGAGGGTAGGTAATAAATGGGTGGAAATAGGAATAAGTTGAAAATGACATTTTTGTCATTAATGAAATTAATGGAGGAGAAAGGGAGGAAGTCTTTGGCAAAAGTGGAGAGGGTCCAATTGGACCAGCGCACGATTAAAAAAATAATTTCCCTAAAAAAATAAAGGAAAAACAAAAAAAATCAATTCTTTCTGTTTCGTTGGGAAAACGGGAACGGGGTATGTTTTTTGGGGGGAAATTTACCGCCAAAATGCTGATGATTGTTGTTGATGTCAGTGCTTTCCTAAAATTGATAGAAAAGGAAGAGAGAGAAAGCTACAAACTTCAACCAAAACTTTAACAAAAATACAAACAACGATGAAGAACTAATAAATGTAATCAAAGTTAGAAAATTTAGTAAACTCAAAAACGACAAACAAAATCAGGTAACTATACTTTAAATTTTAGTAGTGTTTGTATTTTAATTAGTGTTTTTGTTGATTTTAATGTAATTTATTAATGTATTAAACTAAATTTCTAGGGTTTCTCAATTGGTTTTCTGGGAATTCTTTACTAAACTCCACAAAGACCAACAAATTCAGGTACTATACTTTAATCTTAATTAGTGTTTTTGCTATGTTCTAGGCTTTCTGAATTGGATTTTCGTCAATTGTTTTATGTTACAAAATGATAATTTCATAATTAGGATTAACATACTAAGTTGATAATTTGTTGTATTGAAGATAGTTAATTAATACAAAATTTCTAGGGTTTCTAGATAATATTATGTTACTAATTTCTACGGTTTATAGATAATATCATGTTAATAATGTTAGTGTTGTCTTTTATATTTCTTGGAGTTCTAGGGTTTTAGAATTTACAACTTATTTGTTTGGGTTTGGTTTTGGTTTTGGTTTTGGAATAGGTATTTCAATTGTTGCTAGTATGAACCTTGATTTGATACAAATGACTTGGTTGTCAAGAACTTTGGTGTAGTGTTTCTATATGATTTTCATATAGTGTAGTTCATGTCACTAGCTTTAGCTTATGAGGAATCAGTACCATAATCTAAACTAGAGTAACATATTTCCTGCTCATCACTTTGTTCATGTTGAGCATTACAACATTGGTTGCATTGAGTTTCTTCTTTTGTAGCTTTCTTTGATGTACTTACTAGAGGAACAACCATCACCAACAACGTAACAAGTTTAATTTTAACAACCATCAAGATAGTAACAAGTTGGTCTTGATGTCATACAACGTAGCAAGTTTAATTTTAACAAGACAACGTACATGCTTCTACTACTTTGCTTATTAATTTTAACAAGACAACTTTGCTTTTTTATACGTTATTGTTTGTAGTTGATTTGCAATTTTGCATATAGTGTAGCTAAAATGGAGAAAGGTCTTAAAAGTATCTATGTCCTAATTATTTCAATTACATAGAACATATATGTATTGAATTTTGAATTGTGGTCATCATGCTTGTTATATCAATTGCAAAGAACATGTATGTATTCAATATGGCTAATTCATGAAATTGTATATTTGTAAATCATGTTTGTGTATTTGATAATCTCAAGGTTGTTGAATGAATTATTGTGATGTGCGATTTTGTAATTCTGATTATGAGGAATGTAGGTAGTTTCTAATTTCATGTTGTGTATGATTTGGTGAATCAATTGTTTACCATTCGAAGAATAAATTGTTTTTTATTGCACTATGTTGGCAATCGTATTTGTGAATCAATGTCATCCTCGAATGTCTTAAAAGTTTCTATGTGCTTATAATAAAGTGATGTACATCTGTTCTTAGGATAATGAGGGGTGGCAGTACAAGTGGTGCGAATTTGGACCGTGATGATGTTGTGCTCTTGGACTCTGATGATGAGGTTAGGCCCCTAGGCAATCAGGTAGCAGATTCAACATACTTGTGTGATGGAACGCAAAGTATGAGGTGCTATGATGCTGTTCTTTCTAATGGGGTTGTTCATGAGCCCTTTGTGGGGATGATATTTGCTAGTTGGGGGGGGGGGTGTTGATACTTATTTCAAGAACTATGGAAGGCAACAAGGTTTATGTATTCTTCGTGCATCTGGTTCTTACACCTAGAAGAAGGATGCTGCGACGAATCAGCTAAGAGGGTACATGTGGAAGTGTGAATGTTATGGAAGCAGTACTTATAAGCGTTGCATTAATGGGAAAAGGGTGGTTGCTGAACGTGAAGGGCCTACGCTGCGTAAGTCAAAGAAATGTGACTGCCCCGTGTATATGCACTGCTGTAAAAACAAATCTGGTGATTGGGTGGTGAAGGGGTTGGAATTACAGCACAAGAATTATGTCCCTACACCTCGAAAGTCTCGCTTCATTGCTATGTATAGGCAAGACGACATCAATGTTGTTGTGACAAGAAAGCTCTTCATTGATGTTGGTGTTGGGTCTAAAGTCACCCAAGTCTTCAACTCACTAGCTAGTGAGAGGAATAGGGTTGAAAATGTGACCTTCACCAAGAAAGATTTGAGGAATATTATCAGCCGGGAAAGAAGTGAAAAGATGAAGAATGGTGACTGGAATTCATTGTTCAATTACTTCAACGACACGTGTACTGATAATCAGAACTTCTATCATATGCATAGGGTAGACAAATTCAATCAATTGTCCGTGTTATGTGGGTTGACGCAAGAAGTAGGGCTGCATATGAGGAGTTTGGGGATGTGGTTGTGTTTCACTCTATGTTCTTAACAAATGAGTACGACTTGCCATTTGTAAACTTTGTCGGTGTAAACCACCATGGACAAAGCATTCTGCTAGGATGTGCCTTGCTTTCCCATGAGAATACGGAAACCTTTGAATGGTTATTCAGAACTTGGCTAGGGTGTATGTCTAACAAGAAACCCTTGGCTATATTAACTGACCAAGATGCTGCAATGAGGATAGCTCTCCGCAATGTTATGCCTGTAACACGTCACCGCTGGTGCTTATGGCACATACTTACCAAGTTCAGCCAGAAACTTGAGAGGCTTGAGACTTATGAATTGTTTAAGGTGGAACTTCACAATGTCATTTGTGACAGCCTCACTGTCGATGAGTTTGAGAAGGATTGGGCTGCTGTCATTGCAAAATATAAGCTCGAGGATGAATCGTGTGGCTGGCAGGTTAGTATGTGTAATGTTTTATCTATTCCCTTACCTAATTTTTGCACCAGTCTTATATATAAATGTCTTAGTTGTAGTTAAATAAGTTAGTTCATTATATGAATTCATGGTTTTTGTTAAATTTGTTAGTTATTTTAACAACATTTGGAAAATATTTGTGTATCAAATCTTGCACTTTATCTTTTTATCTGTTGGAACTATTAATTTGGTTTGTGTATTTCCTCACCTGTCTTCAATAGGTTTGTACAGCGAGAGGAAAATGTGGGTTCTTGCTTACATGAGACACATCTTTTGGGCAGGAATGAAGACAACTCAGTGTGTTGAGAGCATTAACTATTTCTTTGATGGCTTCCTCGACAAGCACACACGGTTGTTTGAGTTTGGGTCGAAATACATCCAAGCAATGGAGTCATGAGCAAATGATGAGCAACAAGCTGATGCTGCTAATCAGCGATTTTCTCGACCACTTATCACT